ATGGAGAAGTTGAGAGATTCATGCAACCTCTCATGAAAGCGGTACGCTGTGCTCATGCCGAAGGACGATCCTGGAAACAAGCTATGTATGCTTTTCTCAGGAACTACCGTGCAACACCACATGGAACACTGGGCAAGTCGCCTGGCGAACTTTTATTTGGACGTCCTATGAGAATCGCACTACCCGTCATGCCAGCCGAGGTAACGGATAAACGTCTCGCTCACAAGGATGCACTAGCCAAGGGCAAAATGAAAATTGCTCATGATCAACGTGCAAAGGAACAGTTCATAAAGGTTGGAGACACTGTTCTCGTTAAAAAGAAAAAAGAGGGAAAGTTAGATATGCCGTATGATACAAAACCATATAAAGTGATTAGTGTAAAAGGAACTATGGTAACAGCTAGTAATAGAGATCATAGTATAACACGTAATATGGCTTATTTCAAAGTGATTCCAACTAGTGTAGAAAATGATGAAGTGCAAAGTCGTGCAAAAGAAAAAGAAAAAAATAGTTATAACCCGACAAACAATTCATCAAGGGATGTTATTGCATTTAAGGACTCTCGTCCTAAACGTCATGTTAAACGCCCTACACGATTTGATGATTAATTGTGTTCCTATGTAATGAAAAGTATTTACTTATTGTGCTAAACTAAATTTAATATTGTTTGAATAATGCAGATATCTCATTCAATATTTTGTAACTTTGTAGTACAGTTTCTTTCATGTTTGTTTAACATTGCATATGTATTTTTAACATTGAAATCCTTTGTGGAAAAGATTAAGTTGTTTAAATTCTTTGTGTGCTTAATTAATGTTAAATGTATGCAGTACCTCTTGATATGGTAATAACTTACTTTGTGTCAATAACTTTGCTTTGTGCTACAAGCATGGTAGACATCCTGTATTCATTCTTTTTAAAGAAAAGGAGGGATGTCATGTTCACAGAAAATGGTACCATCCGTTTTCTATGTGCGGCGGCTGAGACGCCAGAGAGAGGAGGTAAACAAGAGCGTACAGGACGCCCGCCAAGCTTGGTAGCTACTAGTCATGTAATCATATTAAGTATTAAAGTCAGTAACCAAGTCATGACTTTACATCAACCCTACAACCAAGACTTCCTCAGTAACACACAAACACCACACGTCCCAGCATTAATGACGTATCTGATTGCAGAGTCGACCTGGGACTGCTGTGTTGGACGATGGATCAGTCTACCCGAGGCAGCCAAGGCCTCTTCACCAGTCTGCTTTGAGGAAGCTGTGAGTCACCCCCGGACGAACTCTGTTGAGAGTAATAGCCTGCCTGAGGCGTGGCAGTGTCGGGAATCGCCTTATCCCGGGTTGGCTGGTGGAAGAGACCACCCACTGGGGTGCTGTATGAGGAGAGTGACCAGCGAGTCACACGAGGCTCCTGGCTAGGGCACGCAACCCTAAGTATCGGTCGTGGAGTGGCCTACACAGCGGAGCTGATCGGTACCTGCCAGCTACAGGGAGCCGGTCGGCCGAGCGGACAGCACGCTGTACTTGTGATCCTGTGGCCCTGGGTTCGATCCCAGGCGCCGGCGAGAAACAATGGGCAGAGTTTCTTTCACCCTATGCCTCTGTTAGCAGTAAAATAGGTACCTGGGTGTTAGTCAGCTGTCACGGGCTGCTTCCTGGGGGTGGAGGCCTGGTTGAGGACCGGGCCGCGGGGACACTAAAAAGCCCCAAAATCATCTCAAGAAGATCATCTCAAGATAAGATACAGGCTGGATTGTGGTTGAAGGCCTCCACGACGAAACACCCAGTGGGACTGTGATTTGGCTGGCCTGTGGCCAGGGTAGATTCGTCATAGTCATAGTGGATTCATCGTGGGCCACGGAAGAAGGAACCAGGGCTATCCAGAGTGAGCATCGTTGAGCATCCAGTGTCTTCGGAGGAAGACGCAACTGTACATAAGTGTAGTAATAATCCCCGCGTGTGACTGTTATTTATTTATATATGGTGGTGGTAAATATATCGGAAAAACTGGAACATTTGTATCCCTCCCCCTTTAATTTAACTTGTGTTACGGAACACACCCCTTGAAAGCCTCTACTAACTTGGGGCCGGATTCCTAAACTCTACTACCATCAGAGAAGAACCCGGTTGCATCCCAGTTGGGCCGTAATACTGCGAGTTGACAAGGCTGTGCTGTCATTGGAGTTCGGTGATGTGGCCTCCATGAGGAGCTCTTGTACGGAGTAGGGGAAGTATCGCGGCGATGGAACTCTTACTGAGATTTCCTCGTTTGAGGAGTCCGTGGCGTAGTCTGTTGTTGGTGGTTTTGGTCTCACAGCCTCAGGTTGAGGTTGGCTCTGGAGTCGATGAGTTGTGGTAGAAGTAAAAAATTATTTTTCGGCTAGGAGCTGACGTGGGTAATTGAGATATAGGTGGTGCTCCTTGCGAAGTGGGAAATTGTAGCCCAGGAGTTTTTTTTAGGTCCTCCGTACTTGCGAACAGTGCGACATCATTACCTTCCTGATTACTGTCATTGGGTGTGATATCGGCCCCGTCCTTGAGGATATTCAGAATGTAGCTTTTTTCCAAAAGTATGACCGTTTAAGGGGGTAGCCCTAACTTGTAAATGTTTGGGTCGCATTGTGTACTCTTTGCTACTCTACGGGTCGCAGTGGCAATGGATGTTTTGTGGGAAGGTTTCAGGCTCTCTGCTATGACTGATGTGTGTGGTGAATGAAGGTGTGTGTGAAAGAAGGAAACATGGTAGGTAGACCCGCCAGGGCAGGTCACCTGACAACCAAGAATTGGGAATGAAACTACTTTATGGAAAAATAGGGTCGAAAAGGGGTAGGGAAGAATGATATCAGGGTAAATTTAAAATACATGTTCCTTTCTCTCATAGTGGAATCAACAAAACACTGGATAATAGCGTTTAAGTGCCGCTGGTTGGAATAAATACATAAATAAATAAACACAAGTTAAATGGATGCTACATTGTATTTACGTGCTATATTGAAGCTTTTATGGGGATCTAATTTGTACATGCCAGGGCTTGCATTAAGGCTTGTTCCATTGTTTGATCAGAGCAGACTCGGTCACATTTCGTTCAACGAACCATTATTTTTAACAATACATTTGTCCCTCTGAAGTTGATAGAATGATCACATAAACTGGAATGTAAATACAATGCACTATAGTGCTGGGCTGTACGAATAGCATATGAATGTTGTTTTAAACGTGAGGAAAGAGATTTACCAGTCTGGCCGATGTAAACACGTGCCCACTCATTGTAAGGGATGGAGTACACACAACCTGCTTCAGACGGAGACGAGTTCTTAATTATAATGGACTTAACTGTATTATTATTTTTGAAAACTGGGTTAATATTAAGGGTTTTCAGAGCTGGGGCAAGTTTTTCTAGTCCATCAAAATAGGGTAAAACCAGCGAGTTTGTTAGCTTTGGTTTAGACTTGGAAGCATGTTTGTAGAACGGCTTATTTGTTTGTCCAAACGCGACATGCAAGAACCTTTTTCCCAATTTCATATATTTTCGTTATACTTTCACCAAAAATTCCTGGCTGCAAATTCTCAGGGCTCTGCCCACTTAACCTGATTATGATGATTCGAGTAATAATAAACGTCTGTTTATTATTACTCATTTGTTATTATTATTATTCATCTGTTCCATGTTCATTATTACCACCCCTGCACACCACCCCGGGAGAGAGTCCCACAGCTGACGACAACTGCGGACTCCCAGACGACGCTGACAGCGGTAGTCAACATAAAAAAAGCAGGAATACTGGCGACACAGGACGAAGACTCTTTCAGAAGAGCATGTGAATGATGAGGATCTCTCCGGCGTAGATGAGTATGGCTCCGAAGATGCAGTCTCGACGTCTCATCGGGTACGTGTGCCCATGTTTGAGGGCCACGATGCACCTGGCATTTTGGACACACCCACAGGTTGATACACCGCTGTCATAAATGGCCAGGCGATCACCCTCAACTTACCGCGGATATTAACGAGGATCTCCCACGACACCCTACACTGTCGCCTGTGGACACCCAGGCACAGACACGAAGACCAAAACAAGAAACCGAAGAACAGGAAAAAATAGAGCCCAGGGCTCCCTGAGATAGTGATGATGTAATGAAATATCAAACAAAGACTTCTGGCTGCTGCTCGGGCCTCTTGGCAACCCCCTCCCTCCCCTAGTGCTTTGTGCAGTGTGATTGATTCTGTTATCTATTCAAAAATCCTCGCCCTTGCTGGATTGAGCCCCGGCTCTACACTGCGACGCCGAAGCTGCGGACTATATTTCCCATTGTCCCCCTTTCCAGACCCCATTCATCCACAGATCTACAGTACCAGCTACTGGTACTGGTAATGGCTTCAATCAGCCTCCACCTACAGGCTCACCATAGCCCGTGCTACATGGAAATTTTGTTCCAGTAACTGAATATAAAACAACAACAATTCTCTCCCTTCACAATGGACTTGATAATGGTCGAGGACGGACCGAAACGTGGTCGTCTCTACATGTGGTGTGGGGTTTGGTCATCTTATCTTCAGCCACGTTATTGTGACTCATCGTCTGCTTATTGTTTATTTGTTATAATATTGAATTTAGTCGATGGAGAGAAGCTATTTGCATAAGACACTCAGTGTAGCCAGTATGAATCATTTGCTATCAGTCGGTGACGGTGAATAATTTTGTTTTCTTTAATATTTCAAGTCGAAAGTCAACTAATGCAGATAATGCCAGCATAACATCATCCAGTGAACTCATTTGTAATCTCTAATGTACAGCATGATTATCTCTGAACAGGTAAAGTATACAGTAAGGCATACAGCTTGTATTTTGGAAGTTTGTTTGAATAAAACTGTAATAAGTCAGAAGTTAAAGACGGCTTTAACATGGTTAGGCCATTTGTCTTTTTTCTTATTATGATAAAATTATTTGAATAAATTCACATATACACATGTTGGCAAGGAATTAAGAAAATAAATACCACA